AGGCCTCACTGCCTCTGGGTAGGATTCCGCTCTTCTCCATTGATGGTCCCAGGGTCCTCTGCTCCTAGACTGATAAATTAATCACTCCCCTCTTTGTTACAAAATGTCCATCTTTAGATTTCCAACCCTCACAACCAGTCCTGATAACAATTATTCACCATTGCATCACAAGAGACCCATCTATATTTCGTTTCATCAGCCCTTCCTGGACAGGCTGGACACCACTCACTGGAGACTCTACCTTCCTCCACGCCGTCTGGATCTAGGTTCCCTCTTGAAAGCTTGTAAGCCAGTCACTTCTTGCCTTTGTATCTCTCCCCCCATTTTGGGTAGCCAGTTCATGATTTTCTTTTGGAGTCTATTGTACCAGGTTTGTTCAGATTCTTGAATACTTATCTTCTTGTCTTTATGCTAGGGAAATTTGCTTCCAACAGCTCTTCGACTATCCCTTTTGTGATTTTCTGTGATTCTTCCTGTTTTGGCACTTCAGTCACCTGTAAGGCATTCTGCTTCATGTTGCCCCACACTAATCTTAGGTCTTCTTCAGGTTTTTTTTTTTTTTTTTTCATTCTCTTTTCTGCTTGTTCTTATAATGTAATTATATTGAGAGATTTGTCTTCAAGCTCTCTGATTCTGGCTTCTACCCCGTCAGTTCTACTCCTTTGCCCTTTCAGTGTGTTGTCCATTTCTGATATTTTAGTACTGATCATGCATACCTGTTTTTGTAGGTTTTGTATCATCTCTAATGCTGTATATGTTTTATTTGATTCTTCCTGTAGCGCTTTTCTGACTTTTTTCTTATTTTCCTTGACCTTTCTGTGGAACATTTGGATGAACCTCAATATCATTCTCCTGAATTCCTTATCAGGCAGTTGAAAAGCCTGCATTCCTTCCAGTGCAAATTCTGGCTTTTCTTCTTGGTCGTTTGTTTGAGCTACTCTGTCTTGTTTCTGCTCATGAGCAGAAAATTAGTATTGCTTATTTGACATTGTGGCATTGTTGTATTTGTAATAATTAGTTGAATGTATGTTGGGGTATTCTTAAGCTCTCTCGAATTGCCTCCTGGTAGATGTGATCAGGAGATGGGATTCCCTTTTCCCTGCTCTCACAGCTCAATTCAGAGTGTGTTTAGTAGGTGTTGACTGTAAACACTGCTCTAGTGTACAGCAGCAGTGGTTTTTGTCTAGATAGTGGGGTTTCATAGTGTGCTATTGTAGTTGGCTGTATTGCCACAATTGCTGTCTCTTTTTGGGTAAGGCAAGAAGAGAAAGGGTCTCCTCAAGATAAAAGGGGAGCTGAAAAACACAGATTAAACACTAAAGTCCAAAATCACACACACACACACCAAAAAAAAAAACAAAACAAAAAACCCTATGGCAAAATATGAGTAAGACTTTTAAGGCCTCTTGTCTTCAAAGCCATCTGAGAAATTTCAAGATGTTCTCGTTGTACCTTATGATGTAACTCAAGGTTTTGTTTTTCGTCTTTTTCTCCTTTTTTCCCCCACCTCCCCTCAAGTCTGTTGATGTTTTTCTCCTAGTGAGAACCAGTACAGGGCTGGCCAGATCTGCTTTGTGGAAGACATTCCTTTTGCAAACTCTTTCTGTTGACTTCTCCCCCTTCTTTGTTTCTGTGCAGATCCTTCCACATGCAGAGCAGAACCTTACCTGGGGGTGTCAACTCTTTCAGATATTCCATCTGGCCCCAGATTTGAAATGGGTAGACAGAGCAAAAGAAAAAAAATGAAAAAGAACTGCGCACAACTTTATCTCTGCGAATCCATCAGCCCTCTGTGATGGGGATGCTCTTTTGATCCTCTGTCTGCTCATTCCCATTCCGAGTAGCTTTGCTAGGACTCGCTGGCTATTGGAAATCAGAAGCCTCGTCTTTTCTTGCTTCTGCTCCACATCTTCAATCTATTTACTCAACTATTACTTTTAAAATCTTAGAAGTTGTGTTACTTTCACTAGCAACAGTTTTGCCTTATAAGTTATCTTATACCTCAAGTGCTCTATATATGTAATCACATTTAAAATGAATATACTCTTTTTAAAACCAGTTATATTCTAATAACAGTTTGTCTTATCCAGTGTGGTTTTTGGAAATGGGTTTTTAGGCCCTATCTTTCAAGCTTTTAGATACTATCATATTACATAAATGCAAAGTATCTATAATGAGAAGTACCAGAATATTAAATTTTGCACAATCACAACATTCCCATTGAACTTCCTGCTATGATTAAAGTGTTCTATAGCTTTGGTATTTAATATAGTATCCACTATCTTCATTGGCTATTGAGTACTTAACTGATCACTTAAGTGGAAAAGTGGATTTTTTTTTTAATTGTATGTGTAAATATACACTTTTGGCTATTGTTGTTTTACATTGTTCTCCAGTGTCCCCCTAAGTCAGTATGTGCTGTATTCTTAAGTCTGTATGACAGGTATTTTTTGTTCATGTTTTGTGTTTTTTAATCCAGCCAGTAAACCTCTAGCATATAAGCTGATTTTCCCTTTCATAATTAAATTCTTCTCATTTACTAGATGAGTAAAACTATTTATTCTTAACTAGTAATATGTAACAGCGTGTGTATTTGTGCACAACAATTTTTAATAAAATTATTTAATGTTTGCAATAGTAATTTTTGTACACCCTGAAAGGAAAACATGTAGTAGAGGTGTGTTATTATTTGAACACTTTGATGTCCTGAGTTCAAGTATACAGCATTGTAGATTACAAAGCATCTATGAGAAAGAGTTAGTTTCTTTTTGGTAAAATGGGGATAATAGTATATGCCTTAGTTGTAGTGAGAATGAAATGGCATTGTGAATATAGTTTATATAAAGATTGTAGCACACAGTGCTCTGCATATTGCCATACTTCAAAAGATTTTATGAGAAAGTGAGATGTTTAGGAAGATTGCAACGCAAGTATGAAAGATCTTCAAAAAGTTTCCAATAACTCTTTGAAAGTCCCCTCATATTTACCCTGCTTTAAACAATTGTCAAACACTGTAAGAATGTTACATAATTTGAATTAGAAGAGTTAAAGGCAGTGCATTTAAGTAAAAAATCAAAACTAATCCTGTCTTTGTTTTAAATTTAGCTCTTTTCCCCTTAAATGGCTTATTTTGCAGTAATTGAAATATTTAAAAACATTTACATCAAAATAATATTTCTCTCCTTAACTGAGTTTTTTGATGCTTCTGGCTAGCCTAAAACTTATCCCTGACCCCAATTAGAAGTCTTTGCCTAGGACAAGTATTTACTATTATGTTGTTGGTAAGTGCTGTCAAGTCGATTCTGACCCATAGTAACCCTGCATAGGGTTTCCAAGGAGCAGCTGATGAGCTTGAACCACTGACTTTGCAGTCTGACACATTAGCTCACAGCGCCACACCAGGACTCCATTAATAATTTTTTTTTAATTTACTATTACACATGCAAGGAATTGACTATAGTACCAGTGGTTCTTATCTATTAAAGTAGGTCTTGGTGCTGCCTTAGTAGGTGTGGCACGATAGGATAAGCAATCGACCTCAAGACTGGTTTGAACCACAAGGTCCGTGGTTCAAACTCATTGGAAACCACTCCTTGGAAACCCTATACAGGATTTCTATGAGTAGGAGTCGACTTCATGGCACTTAACAACAATACAGTATTCACCTACAGGCAGTATAGTTGAAATTGCATATATACATACTTTGTGTGCTTAAAAATCATTGTTGTTAGCAGCTTTCAAGTTGATCCTCAACTCATGGCAACCCCATGTGTTACAGAATAGAACTGCTCCATGAATTTTTTTTTTTTTTTGTCAGTAAATTCTGGTGTGGCACTATAGGATAAGATCTGGACTACAGGTCAGTTCGAACTGCAAAGTTGGTAGTTCAAACTCCCAAGCCACTCCTCCGAAAGCCTATACAGGGTCTGTATGGGTTGAAACTGACTGGACAGTGCTGAACAACAGCAGCAATAAAGGTTCATTAGTCCTTTGGAAACACTGTAAGGCCAATATGTAAATGAAACAAAATATACATGAGAGAGGAGATTTTATGTGGAAGTCATAGGGATGTTAAAAAAGGTAATTTGATCCCTGATATCTGTCAAGGAAGACCTGAAAATATTTTTGCCTTTCTAATTCCTCATCAAGCAGGGAGAAAGATGAGGCTTTCTACTCCCGTAAAGGTTTACACCCTCGGAAACCCTGTACAGGGTCACTATGGGTTGGAACCGACTCGACGGCACTTAACAACAACAACAATTTCTCATCAAAACTGTGGATTCCTGGTGTGGTGCTATAGGATAAGCATGGACTGCTAACCACAAGGTTGGTGTTTCAAACCCACCAGCCAGTCCTTGGAAATCCTATGCAGGGTTGCTATGAATCAAAACTGACTTGACGGCACTTAACAACCACACCAGGAATCAAAATTACACATAATGAAGTTCATAAGAAACTAAGAGTACTCATAAGCAGAAATTAAAAGATACCTGTTTTTTAAAATTACATTTTTTCCTTTTGAGATCTAATGAGCAGACTCAAAGCACTGTTTTCTTTAGGAACGTACAGTTAGTTCACATTATTTTGTAAAAAAAATATTTGAGTGCTTGGATTTAATTTGAAAGTCATTAGATATAAATTTGAGTGTTAAATGTATTCCTCTGTGTGTGTGTGAATTTAGCTGTGATACGTAACTTGGAATGCATTGTTCAGAAAAGTTTCTGTTTGTAATGCATATGTTTTCATTACATTTATATTTGTTTGACTATTTCAGTGTCTAAAAATGACTACAAAACGAAGCTTGTTTGTGCGGCTGGTCCCATGTCGTTGTCTACGAGGGGAAGAGGAGACTGTAACTACTCTGGATTATTCACACTGCAGTTTGGAACAGGTTCCCAAAGAGATTTTTACTTATGAAAAGACCTTGGAAGAGCTCTACTTAGATGCTAATCAGATCGAAGAGCTTCCCAAGGTATGTTAATACTGTCTTTCAAGAATTATCTTTAGTTCTTTTTCTGTCTAGTTTAGAATAGAATTATGATGGTGTAGCGCTGTGGGTTAATGAGCCAGACTACAAAGCTGTTTGAACTGCAAGGTCTGTGGTTCAGGCTCACCAGCTGCTCCCTGGAAACCCTATACAGGGTCACTATGGGTCAGAGCCAACTCGATGACACTTAACAACAACAACAATGTTGCCATGGAGTCCTGGTGTGGCGCTGTGGGTTAATGTGCCAGACTGTAAAGCCCTTTGAACTGCAAGGTCAGTGGTTCAGGCTCACCAGCTGCTCTTCAGAAACCCTATACAGGGTCACTATGGGTCAGAGCCAACTCGATGACACTTAACAACAACAACAATGTTGCCCTCATGCTGTCTATCTATATTTGTGTTTTCATCTTTTGTTTAATTTTGTCTTATTAATAGATGTAAAAGAAGTCTTTCTGTTTAGTTAATTGCATGAATACTTGAGTAAATTACCTAAAATTTTGTATTTAACTCCAATCGTGTTCTAGCCTTTAGGGTTGATAACAAGAGTGCATGCTTCTGCAGCCACTAGATTTTGTCTAGAAAAAGAAATGAAATTTGTCATTTCCAGTTTTATGAGACATAGTAATAAGTAGTAGTTGTTGTTGTTAGTTGCCATAAGTCTGTGACCCAGTCCTGCCAGTTCTTTGCCATCCCCAGGACTGGTTGAAGATTGGGCTGTTGGGATTCATAGGGTTTTCCTTGACTGGTTTCACAAGTAGATTGCCAGACCTTTCTATCCTTGTCTTAGTCTAAAAACCTCTACTGTTGTAGCATTGTTGTTGTTGTTGTTGTGTGCCGTGGAGTCGATTCAGACTCATAGCGACCCTGTACAGGGTTTCCGAGGCTGTTAATCTTTACGGGAGCAGAACGCCTCATCTTTCTCCCGCGGAGCAGCTGGTAGTTTCGAACTGCTGACCTTGCGGTACGCAGCCCGATTCGTAACCACTGCACTACCAGAACTTGTGTTGTAGCATAGTAACATGCAAATCTCTGATTACAGACAGGTGGTGCCTGCACATGAGGTGCATGCATTAGTTAGGACTCAAACCAAGGCCTCCCTCATGAAAGGCAAAAATTCTGCTGCTTCACCACCTACCACAAATGTCCCAAAATAATAACTAGCTCTGTTCTAAGCATTATGGTTATATTATGCCATTTACTGCTCACAACCACTATATGAGAAAGATGTTATTATTTTCCATTTTCAGATTTTCATATGATTTAAACTCAGGCAGCCAATAGTCCACTATACTACCCTATCACTGTATTTTTGCCTTTAATCTTTATGTAATTCCATTTATCATATTGGAATACTGGTGTGGCACCATAGGATAAGCACTTGACCTCCAGCTCAGTTTGAACTGCAAGGTTGGCAGTTCATACTCACCAGCTGCTCCTCAGAAACCCTATACAGTTAGTTCCGAGTCGGGACTAACTCGGTGGCCTTAACAATAATAGCAATATATTGGAGTTCTGGTGTGGCACTGTGGGTTAATGCCCTGGAATACAAGGTCGACACTTCAAGCTCCTTGGAAACTCTACAGGGTCGCTATGAGTCAGAACTGACTCAACAACACTTAACAAAAATAACATATATCATATGAGAGTCCTGGTGTGGCGCTGTAGGGTAAGCACTGGACTATTAACCACAACAACGGTTGGCAGTTCAAACCTACCAGGGACGCTGTGAGTCAGATGTGGCTCAGCACTTAACAACAACAGCAACAATACATCATATGTTTATGATTTTAGATACTATAGTAAATGGAATTGTTTCCTTAGCTTTCTGTTCTGATTGCTTATTGCTGATTTATAAAAACCTGACATTTTTGTGTGCTGACCTTGAATCCCATCACTATACTGAGTTATTAATTCTAGTAGTGTTCTTCTGATACTTACCTTCGTATATTTTACTCCCTGATTATCCTCTTACACAATCTCCTGTTTTATAGAAAATCTAAAGTAGCTTTAATTGAATTGTTAGAATTTTTTGACCAAATAGCAGTGTGTTTCAACCTGTAGGTGGAGACCCACTGGTGGCTTATAATTATCAATGTAATGCATATGGCCTGGATTTAAAAAAAAAAAAAATCCTGTAATTTTGATTGCCAGATTTCTCAAATAAAAATATAGCACATCCAGTTGAATTAGAATTTCAGATATAGAAAGATTTTTTTTGGTATAAATGTGTTTGTTTGTTTTTTGAGGGGTAAACATCTTATTGGCTCCTCATGCAACAGTCTGTTATGCTTTTATTTGATGCATATGTCTGCACATATTTCCAAGCTAATTAAATGTGTTGTTTTACAAAACATAAGCTCCAACGTTTGCCATATTTAAATGCCATTTATGTTGTTGACTGTTAACAGGGAATACGTTTACAGTCATGTATTTATTCTCATTTAAGCGCATTTTGCCCATAGAAGTATGAGGATGCTTACTGTTCTTTGTGTTTTGAGTTGTATTCAGGTTAATAATAATGTAACCAGAGCAATAAGAGAACTTCCCTAGTGTTTGTGTGAACATGAGTCATTTAGTTTTAATAAGACTAATGATTTGTATAAAAGTCAGAAGATGGAAGTATTTAAAGAAGCTAAATAATCAAAATTCTTTTGTCTGTTTTTCAATAGCAACTTTTTAACTGTCAGTCGCTACATAAACTGAGTTTGCCAGACAATGATTTAACAACATTACCAGCATCCGTTGCAAATCTCATTAATCTCAGGGAACTGGATGTCAGCAAGAATGGTAAGCTTGTTTTCCTAACTTTTTGTACTTGGGACTATTTAGATACATGTTGTGTTTTAATAAGTGGTGGTGGTGTGCCATGGAATAGGCTCCAACTCTTAACGACCCTGCATAGGGTTTCCGAGGCTGTAAATCTTCATGGGAGTAGAAAGCCTCATCTTTGTTCCACAGAACAGCTGGTAGTTTCGAAATGCTGACCTTGAGATTAGCAGCCCAACTCCTAACCACTATGCTAAATGTCAAAGTCAGGTTGAAATATATTACCAAATTAGCATCATCTTATGAAAAATTTTAAAGTAGCTGGTTGGCACAGTGACTGAGCGCGTCACTGCTAACCAAAGGTAGGCAGTGGGAACCTACCAGTCATTTTAAGGTGATGGGATGTGGCAGTTGGCTCAGAAACCTTATGGCAGTTCTGTTCTGCCATAGAGGGTTGAGGGTTACTATGTGATGGAATCAACTGGATATAAATGTATGGGCAAGGTTGTATATAACCTGTTTCATATTCAAATACAGTAAAATTTAATGTTTTATGTTGTAGTCTTGGCTGGTGGCTCTGTGGCTTAGGTGTTGGGCTGTTGATCACAAGGTTGGTGATATAAACCAACCCACCAACCGTTTGTGTGTGTGTGTTGGGCAGGGATGTGGGGTTATGAGACTATCTGCTCCTGTAAAAATTTACAGTCTCAGAAACCTTGTGTAGGATTGCTATGAGTTGGAATTGACTTGATATACATACAAGGGGGGCTTCAAAAGTTCCTGAAAAATGAAGTCGAAAGATAATGCCATTTTTTTCAATGAATATTTTGAAGCCCCCTGGTACACAAAAATACACACACACGGAGTTATTCGTGAAACTTTAAAGCAAGGTAGAGATTAAGTGGTAAATTTTATTTGAGAGAGTGTGTTTTTAACCTTTTAATAACACACAACAGATACACACAAATTATCTGTAAATATAAAATAAAGATACATTTTTTAAGTGTTTGCTACCTTGTTGCTTGTAATGAGAAATTACTGCCTTTTTCACTGTTGATGTTGTAATATGATTAGAAAAAAGAATCATGCATCTCTGGTAGCACAGTAGTTACGAATCAGGCTGCAAACCTTAAGGTCAGCAGTTCGAAACTACCAACTGTTCTGCGGGAGAAAGATGAGGCTTTCTGCTTCTGTAAAGATTTACAGCCTCGGAAAACCCTGTACAGGGTTGCTATGAATAGGAACCGACTCCACGGCACATAACAACAACAACAAACATCTTCATCAATACTGAGATGCAATATTTATAATAATGCTAAAGGAAAAAAGAAATTTGCAGAACATTGGAAATTATGCTATCATTTAGCAAATATTTATTGAGAGCCCAGGTTGTGCGAAGTAGTCTATTAGGATCCTAGTTGCAATTATAGTGAGAAATAAAATGTTAAATAAGTGTTTAGTCTTGTATTTGTGGTTTCTTACTTTGATATATACAGAAAAAGTAAGCTGTATAAGGGGGCTTTAAAAATTTCATGGAAAAATGGAATTGAAAGATAATGGAAGTTTTTCCATGAATTATTTGAAGATCCCTGATAATACAGAGTGTTTCGTACCTACTTTGATAGGAGCTGGAACTAGGCACTTGAAATTTCTATAGTGAACATGTAGTTCTAATTACAGAAAAGAAAGTACAGTGTGGTTAATTTTAATGCTGTGTCCAAAGATGTTGCTTTTAACAAACAATTCATCTTCAAATAATTCTTTTTAATGTTTAGAGAAAACCTCTGTAAACAAGTCCTAACAGCACTATCAGCAAATACTTACAATCTATCCTAGACCCCTTGGTTCTGAAGTCAGTCTCTCTGTGTCCCAGTGGTGACAATTTCCAGCTGTATTTGTTCTGTCATATCAGTTCTGCTATATCTAAGGATTTAGTATGATTTTAAGACTGATAAAAATAGTCATCCTTTTTTCACAGTTTTTTTTCAGTGTTTTAAATTACATCTGTGCCCCCTACCCTTCAAAATTGCTTATCTTCACTTACCAATTCCTAATTATATTTTAGTAGTTAGCAATGTATATAAAATAATAAAATAGTCTATTTTATAGGATAATGGTCCAGTTAACATTTCTTTTTTGGAGGATTTATGGTTTACTTATTCAGTATAAATATGAATACTATTAGTAGTGATTACCCTACAGACTTTCCGTACAGCCTCAATTAATTGTCAGTAGACAGTAAAATTTCATTTTAAAACTAGCAGTTTTGCCTTTGTTTATTGAGTCATTTAATTTAGAGTTTAAAATATTTTTACATGGTGGAAGTTTGCATTTAAAATTTTAAATTATAATTTAATTTGACTTTGATTGAATTAATTAAAAATGATACTCTTTTTCTCCAACATACTTAAAAATTTTCAAACCCAAATAAAAAATATGCATGAAAGCTAGAAAAACACCATCAATTAACCAGTTGGTAGTATTTCACCACATTTGTTTTATTTTTTTCTTTTATATACATAAGGAGCTCTGGTAGCATAGTAGTTACGAATCGGGTTGCGACCCTCAGGGTCAGCAGTTCAAAACTACCAGCTGTTCCGCAGGAGAAAGATGAGGCTTTCTGCTCCTGTAAAGATTTACAGCCTCGGAAACTCTGTACAGGGTCGCTGTGGGTCAGAACCGACTCCACAGCACATAACAATAACAACATATATACATAGGAACTTCCAAAAGTTCTTGGAAAGATGGAATTTTTCCAGGGACTTTTTGAAGCCCCCTCATATGTACATATAAATTTAAATAGGGCCAGGAAGAAGATAAATACATCTTATTGCTTATACAAAATGTATTTTTCCTAAACCTATTTCAAAATTTAAGTTGCAGCTTTCACAAATCTCACTGTATGCTTCCCGTACTATCAAGAACATTCTTATTTGTAATCCAAATATCATCTATACTCAAAGTTAACATCACATTTAACATTGCCAGATTACCCCCCTTTTAACATATAGATCAATAGAGCACTGTGTCTCTGTCTTTTAATGAACACTCTTCCTATTTCTTTTGTTTGTTTTTCATGACATTGACAATTTCGATAAGTCTATGTCAATTTGTTTTTTTATTTGGGTTTTAAATTTTGTCTGACGGTTTCCTTATGATTGTATTCAGGTTAAATAGATAGCTTCAGTTTCAAACATCCCCAAACACAAGAGTCTTTTTGTGTTTCCATCCTTCACTTAGTATAGTGTCAGGGGTTGCATGGCTTAATACATTTGAAGTAAATCAACTTAATTTCTTAACATTGTACTTCTATATATGGTGATATTAGAAAATGATCAAAGTCGTGTTTTCTTTTTGCATATTTATAGTTTGCTCATATTCACCCTAGGTGAAGGTTAGTAGTTATTAATGCCTCTGGAGTCCTGGTGTGGTACTGCAGGAAAATGCACTGGGCTGCAAGGTCGGTTTGCACTGCAAGGTCAGCAGTTCATGTCCACCAGCCACTCCTCAGAAACCCTATTGATATGAGTTGGAATTGACTGGATGCTACTTAATAACAATTGTCATTCCAAACAGGCTTAATTAATTCTCCTAGGCAGCAAGTTTTTATGAGTCTTCTCCATTGTTACTTGCTATCAAGTGGGTTCTGATTCATAGTGAGTGAATGTATTACAGAGTGGAGCTGCTCTCTAAGGGTTTCTTGCTATTGAATTTTAGGACTGTTAAGACCTTAGGAGTAGTCCTGGTTGCGTAGTGGGTTGCTCATTGGGCTGCTAACTATGTTAGCAGTTCAAATCCATCAGCTGCTCTGACTAAGAAAGAGGCTTTCTGCTCTTTGAAAGATGTACAGGTTTGGAAACCCTACATAGGGTCGCTATGAGTTGAAATCAACTAGAAGGCAGTGGAGGTGGTGGCCTTAGAAATCATCGAGTGTAATGTGTCCCAAAGCAGTATATTTTATACTCTTTGGCCTTTTTAAATGGAAGATGTTAAGGTATAATGTTTTTGTTGTTGTTAAGTGCCATCGAGTCAATTCTGACCCATAGCGACCCAGTATAGAATTTCCAAGAAGCATTTGGTGAGCTTGAACTGCTGACTTTGCAATTCAGACAGCTTTGCAGTCTGGCACATTAATCCACAGTGCCACACCAGGACTCCTAAGGCATAATACTACTAATAAAATAGTATGCACCTGGAAAAGGCTTGTAAATTTATCTACAAGTCTGTATTGTGGTGGTAAGTTGGTTCCAGTTTCACAGCGACCTTATGTAGGGATTCTGAGACTGTAAATCTGTACAGAAGCGGAGTGTCTCATCTTTCTCCTAAGGTTCGAACTGCTGATTGTGCAGTTAACAGCCCAGTTCATTATCTACCGTATTACTAGGACTACGATGGATCTTGGCTGAAAGCAGAGAATATCAGAAGGATGTTTACCTGTGCTTTATTGACTACACAAAGGCTTTCGATTGTGTGGATCATGACAAGCTATGGACAACATTGAGAAGTATGAGTATTCCAGAACACTTAATTGTACTTCTAAGAAATCTGTACCTAGACCAAGAAGCAGTTGTTCGAACAGAACATGGGAACACTGAATGTTTTAAAATTGGGAAAGGTGTGAGACAGGGTTGTATTCTTTCACCATACTTATTCAACCTGTATGCTGAGCAAATAATACGAGAAGCTGGGTTCTATGAAGAAAAACGTGGCATCAGGATTGGAGGAAGACTCATTAACAACCTGCGATATGCAGATGATACAACCTTGATCGCTGAAAGTGAAGAGGACTTGAAACATTTACTTATGAAGATTAAAGAGCACAGCCTTCGATATGGATTGCATCTCAATGTCAAGAAAACAAAAATCCTCACCACTGGACCAATAAACAACATTCTTATCAATGGAGAAAGGATTGAAGTTGTCAAGGACTTCATTCTTCTTGGATCAACTATCAACACTCGCGGAAGTAGCAGTCAAGAGATCAGACGACATATTGCACTGGGCAAATCTGCTGCACAGGA